CTCCTTTACAAAATCAATTACAGTATGTGTATTAAATTGAATCACAATTAAAAAAATAATCCTATCCTATATAATAAAAGCCAAATATGCTAAGTGCCCCGTCATTCGTTCAACCAATCAAAGTATAATATGCTAATGATATGCTAAGGATGTTCAACCACTCACTATGATGTGCACTGACCACCAGGAGGCAGACGCTCGGACTGGTAGGTTACCTTGCTGCTGGGGTACGGCTGATCGGGACTGAGGGAGATGGGCTGGATATGCCCTGGAGCCCTCCTGCGGTCCCTCCCTGGCTGGCCAACTTCCTATGTCCCTCCCTGGCCCCAATTGTGCACTGGCGGGTGCCCGTGGCCTGGACTGCGCCCTCTCGCAACCCGGGACTCCTCGGGGGATGTCGGAGAACAGGTTTTGGCCCGATCCCGCAGGCCAGGCCGAGGGACCTCACTGGTTCATGATTTCATGCACTGGGCCTCTAGTATATATAATAAAAGGCTAAAATGCAAATTGACCAAACGGCAGAATGACCAGTCGCTATGATGCATACTGACCACCAGGGGGCAGACACTCAATGCAGGAGCTGCCCCTGGTGGTCAGTGCACTCCTGCAGGGGGAGTGCTGCTCAGCCAGAAGCCCTGAGCCGGGCTCACAGCTGGCGAGTGCAGCGGTGTTGGCGGGAGCCTCTCCCACCTCCAGACTGTGAGAGGGCACAGGCCAGGCTGAGGGACCCCCCACCCCCACCCCAGTGCACAAATTTTGTGCACCAGGTCTCTAGCTGTTTATAAAATTCCAGTGTTACACATGAGCATATGCACATTTGTGCACACACATTCAAAAAACATACACAGAGTTAAGATGATTAAATGTTTTCAAATATTTTTATCTTCATATGAATGAGTACCTCCTGATGGAGGCATTCACAGATATTTTTCATGAAACATCTTGGCTGGTTAAATAGTGCAGATGTTTTGAAAACATTTTCTTGGCATAAAACATGGTTACAGGTTGTTATTACAGCCCAGTCAGTGTCTCTAAGGCATCAACGTCTCCTCACAGGGTGGCAGCCGTGAATGCAGATGCAGAAGGGAGTTTGGGGCTCTCTGAAACAATATGTTTTCTTAAAGTCACAAGAAATATTTTTTCAAGAAATTGAGATTATTAGCATTTACCAATTGTTTTTCTTATGGTTTTGAAGTAGGATGAGATAGGATGAAGAAGAAAGGAGAGCCTAGTCTTCCTCAGCTCCTTGTACAAACATGAATATTACAGTCTGTGCGCTCTTTGTGAGCAGGGCAATTTCACTTTATTTCTGGGCTCATTCTCTGATGGTACAAGCAGCACATATATAGATGGGAGTGATTTCACTTTATTTCTGGGTTCATTCTCTCTCTTTTTTTTCCTCTCTGCATCAAAGCCTAGCACAGTATCTAATACTTAATATTTTTTGAATTAGTGAAAGCATTTCTCCATGTATTAATTGCATCCCATCCCAGAATAGGTAAGTTTAAAAATGTATTACTCAATCCTCCTTAACCAGATAGACTTGATTTTTTTTCTTTTGTTGTTGTTTGTGATTTAATTAGGGTATACATTGAGTTGCTGTTTTTTCCTACATTCATAAATTGCAAATGCTTAGCCATACATCCTCTTTTCTTTATTCTCTCCCTATTTTCTTTTTAAATATGGTGGGGGAAGTCTTTTTAAGTATACCATTATATCCGGAAAGTACTGGGAACTATTTCAAATGTTAAAATATACCTGTGGAAAAAATTTTTTAATACTTGAAACAAAGTTGAAAAGCAATAATAAGCTAGGCATATGTTTTCAACATACATAACAATATACAATTAATATCCCCAATATACAATTAGCTCTAAAATATAAGAAGAAATAAACATCCCTATTAAAAAGTTAGTAAGGGGTCAGTAGGCAATTGACAACTGGGAAATGTCAATAGCAAAATTTAAAAAAATTTTGTATCAAACATTGGAAAGGCTGTGAGAAGTCACTGAGTGCCATTACTAAGAATGTAAATTTCTATATTCCTGAAATGTATTTTGGCCATATGGTTTGAAATTTAAAATCTATGTACTCTTTGTTAAACAGACGTTCTACTCATAACAGTTCTTCCAGGATGTACTTTATCAATTGTGAATGGATGTATATTTAAGGATGTGTATATTAAAGCTAAGAGTCCATCACTTACATGGTTGGTTAAATTAAACATGATACATCTGTGTTCAGGTTGCAGAACAGCATGTGTAATATTTTTGTAGCAATTTAATATTGTGTTTATTTTTGTAGAAAGTTGTTTAAAAAGATATACACCAAGGTATCATTAGTTGTTTCCTCTGGATGGAGAGATTTGGGGTCATTTTTATTTGTCTGCCTTGTTTGAATTTTCTAAGCGACTACTTATTTTTCTAATTAGAAAAGACAAGAAAGCTATTCATTTGGTTTAAAAAAAAGCAATCAAGCAAAAGACACACTACTATCACTAACATTCCTCACCACATTCTCATTCTTGGTGGGTATCACTATTCTTTATACTTTTTTATTTACCAGATATTAGCTGGTACTTCATTCATTTTAAAATATTTATTTAATATAATAAATATAATCATTATGTTCATTCTCCGCTTTTAATTCATGGAAATGAATGTTTCCTTACATTTTTGTTTGCTAATGTAAAAACTTCTTGTGTTGATTTCCTATCCTGACCTTGACCATGTTAGTACATAAAAACATTCTACGTGATTCCTGTTAACAAATGGGATCAAGAAGAAAATGCAGCTATTTTAGAGGAGAATATCATATTAATCTAGAAATACGTCTTTTTAAATTTAAAGAATTTATGTTAGAAAAATGAAGGAATACACTAAAAAATTAAGGAACATATATAAATCCAAGACCAGGAAATACTACAACAGTGGTTAAAACAGGGATGGTGTGGAGACCATTTTCTTTATTTTTTATTTTTTTATGGCTAAAATCAGGGACTAATACATTCAGAGGTAAATGTGTTTATTGAGAATATTCAAAAATCAAATACATTTTCAATGTACATTATACCAAGGTATAGGGCATTTATCCAGTTATTATTACTAGTAATAATAATAATAATACTAACTACACCCTTGCCAAACATCTCATTTCATCT